TTATTAGAGCTTAAAGGGGAATGTATCTGGAGTGGTTTGAGTCACATGTTTGGTCTGGAGTCATTGTTAAGCCATTCGAAGGAAGCAGGGCAGAAGGATTATTCAGCTGAAAACTCATGCTCCAGGCAGGGTGTTTTGATTCAGTTATAAAGCCAGGGCTGAATTGGTTTGATGTGGGCCGAGTGTTGATACCTATTTTTACCCTTATTACAAAATGCCAAATACATGTAATGCATTGGAACCTGACCTTGCGTGTTATTTTGTCATCAGTTGTTGGTGAACTAGGCTTTGTGTGTTTTACAAGTAGTTTTGCTTTTTGTGAAATTGTTTTTATCTGTTTTTGGTTCACAATAATTATGATGGCCATAAAAGGATTCTGATATCATCAACAAATAGCTGTTTATTTTCTTGATGATTTCCAGGTTTACTGCACTTTATTATGCACACACACACACACAACAACAGCTCTTGTGCTGGAACTGCAGTAGCTGGGACATAGGCTCAACTGTGACACACGAATCATGTCGATAGCCATATGTACTACAAAGGGATGTCTTTGTGTGCCATGTCAAATTTAAAGTCAAAGTGTCGCAACAATGGCTGTTTTTATTCTTTTACCTGGCTAAATATCCATGATAAATTATGCTGAACATATAACTTGGTTGGGAGCAGGTAGTCATAGTAGCCACATCTCTCTGTTATGTGTCCTTTAAAGACCATGGGTTAAATTTCCTGTTTGCCACCTCAGTTATAAGCAGTCACATACTCTGGGTCTAACAGAGATGTATGAATCTTATTTACACTGTAATACTCCTATGACTCCTGTTTAGAGCTAGCTGCACCATTGTAAGAAATGCACTAACTGGGGTGAGGTCGCCAACATGACTGTTATATGCTCTGCTGTTTTATTTGACAGATTCTTTCAGAATCTGATCAGTGTTTGTGTTTCTGATCTTCTGTCCCATCGTGCTACTTGTCTTCCTCTGAGGATTCAGTGGATGAAGGACCCTTAGATGAGGAAGAGCCATGCTGGGATTCATGGGACTGCTGCGAGTACGTGTTGTTGGTTTGATCCACAGAAGATGTTTGATGGGATGCAGCTGGAGTGAAGGATATTAAAGCAAAAATTAAGCATATGAATAAATGACACTTAATATGTGGAAATATAATAACAGCTGAGTTTTTGATTTATGTAATTTGGATTTCATACAAACTTTTGAAATGTCTTTTTTTCTCATGTTGACCAGGAGCAGTCACCTGGAACCACTGCTGCAGTCTGTTATGAAGAGGATTCACAGCTGCACGAGAGAACAATCTGGATCAGTCTTCAGTCAAAATTCATTTCTTATCTGAAGCATTTCAGTATGTATTTCCAGATTAGTCAAAACTGTAAAATCTGCAGTTCCCTTTAGTTACAGGAGGTGG